TAACTGGAGTACAAACCTTAGGCCAAACTCACTGAGCTCTACGGAGGCCTTTTGACACTGGTAATCACCTTTCAATGAGCAAGACTCTACAACTGGTTGCTCTGCTGAAGGAACAGCAAGGGTTTTCAATAGCTGAGCTGCAAACAAGCCTCCCTGATTTTCAGAAGAAAAAGAAAAGTTGAAGTGGTGAAAGGCGCAGAAGTGTTATTAAACTTTCAATGCCTTCTTGCTTAGCTATGGTTACCTGAGGAGCTTCGAGCATTAGTGATCAAGCATGCATTTGTCATTCTACTCAGTAGTACCCTGTTCCTTTTTCAACTTCACTTAACAGAGTTAAAATTTATGTTTACTGTTACTATGTGTGTATAACTATAATTGCATAGAAGCACTTTTAGTATTTTTAGAAAAATTAGGAATAAAGTTATGTTTAGCTTTGGTAAAGCTTTTAATGCTACATCTTTCAATGTAGCTTTTGAACATGTAATTTGACCTTCCAAAGGAATGTCACCTTCCAAATGAATGTCACCTTCCAAATGAATGTCAAATCACCCCAAAACAGTATAGGGAAGGGGGACAAGCATCAAAAATCTTAGCTTGATGCAGTTAGTGGAGTCAATGTGTTTTTATATTACTGGTACACATCTCTCTGCATTCTGGTATTCTATAGTGAAGAAAGAAGAATTGAAAAGGAAGGGGAGCGGGGGACAAGGATTTTTTTTTTTTAGTAGCAGATAGGCTGTGAGTCATGTATAAGAACGTACATTGTCTGTTTCCAGTGGTATCCTCATCCAAATCTTCAGGAGCTGAAAACTAATATATTAAATACACAATTCTAAGAAAGATGAGACTGTGTCAAAAAGGGGTGCCTGCTTTTAAATGCATTGTTTTTCTATGTACACATAGCAATAGTGTCTGGTTCATTCCGAATAAAGCTCAATTTAACCCTGTAATGCTAACATAAGTGTGGGTGGAGAGACTATTCTTACTTCAACAGAATGACTAATTTCTAATTGCACACTTTTTGTTAATGGTATTGATGCAGAAACCATAAAAAGCACAGCTCGTCTCTCAGATACCAGGTGCATATTTCATGGTTGGTAGCTAGCAAACATCCTCTTAATTGCAAACTGAACATATTGGATCTAAGGACGACTGAAAAAACACCCTCTCTTTATAGGCTTGATCTGTATCTTATTGACCTTTGTGGGATCTAGACTGGACATAAAATTATTTGTAGACATTCACTTTGCTAAGTGAATCATTGCATTTATAAAAATAGCTACTTAAGAGTTCATCAACTGAGAGCACTGACAAAGTTCTTTAGTTTAAATACCCTTTCTAGTGTGCTTTCCTAAGAACAGAAAGACTTTACCACAAAAAATACCAGAAACTCCATTAAAACATGTTGTAAATAATCAGCATTTTGGAGATTTTTGAATAAAACTGACTCAACTCATTTTAAAGCCTCTCCATTAGCCAGGATTGTCTAATCCTTCATTTTCTTTCCTGTTGTCTCTCCTTTGGGAATAAGTACTGTATTAGTAAGAACCTCCCTCCCCCCATCTAGATTTTGGTACAAAGTTTCTGCAACTATAAATACATCTCTGTACAGAACACATGAACACATTTTCAAATTAATCTCAATGCAACAGCTGGAGGATAATAGCTGGGTGCATTTACCAAAAAAAAAAAAAAATCCAAAAAACTAACTACGCACAACCACAAAATCCAGCAGTTAAATGAACATTATCTCTCAGCATTAAGCGTCAAGATATTAAGATGAATAAAGAAATTGATACAACTCAGATCTATCATCTCATACTGTTTGCAGACTCCCTGAGATAATTCCTCACTGCAGTTTGTCAGCCTTAACTTTTCTGTGTTCAGACAAATCTGAATTAAGACTTTTCTGAAGTATCTATAAAGTTTGTTTTCGGCACAGGAAAAGAGACACTTTCACGTACATATTACATATAGCATGACAGTTTCATAGTGCTCAGTGAAGTCTGAATATTTTCCCCAAATTTACATAATCTAAGTCTAGTCCTGAACTGGACTTGTCGTGATCCCTCTGCGATACTTCTGGATTCAAAAGGGTGGCTATCTAGATAGTCGTGGTTTGAAATCCTGTCCATCAGAATCACCTATGCTCCTAACTACTGGGTAAGATTAAACAAAGAGAGCAGAAGGGAGAAGGCTGATGCCAAAATCCCTACACTGTATGTGTTGCGCTCAGCAATTTGCAGTTTTTTGAGAATACGGTTTGTCCAGACATGTTCAGATTACTGTTTTAAAGGTAAAAGTGTGACTTAAAAACTAACAGCAATTAGACATCCTAAAAACAAACCAGAAACGCTGACAAGTAACATTTAAAAGTCAGCCCCACAAATATGAGCACTCCTACCACACCAAAACACACTTACTTCAGTGAGTATCTATTTCCGAGATTACTCTCCTATGCACAGACACAAAGTGACCAAAACATCGCTGTCGTGAAAAAAACAATCGAGTTTTGTTTAGATCCAAATGTGGTTTAATATAGTGTAAATTAACATCTTTAATTAAAAGAGAAGGACAAGAAGGCTTGAATTCTAGATTTTTTTTTGTATATCTTACACTGAAAATGTTCAGCTGTTTCTGGTTACAAGCTGGCCAACAACTGAGAGCACAATCAGTAATAATATACATACTTAGGCTGCCAAACAAACCTTTCTATAAAATGAATTATCAAGAAATTTCCTAGATCCCTATTAACTCTCCCTGGTGGCCAGAAAGAATTAAAATTATGCAGTGGAGATTTTTTTGTGGAGATTTTTTTTGGTTTTTTGGCCTTACAAAAATTTGGATAAATTATGAACTACAGAAACCTTGCATTCTCCATACCTTTTGTCCTCTACTAAATTGTACAGGGAATCTGTCAGCATCACATGTATCCATCCTTGCATATATACATTTTATGTCATACAGTGCTTCTCCTGGAACAATAGGGAGTCTCTTTTTTCTCTCTAATGGGAGAATATGAGAATATCCTCCAACCTATAAAAAAATCTGCCTCAAAGTTGAGAGGGCTCAGTCCTGTGGCAACTGAAGCAGAACAGACAGTATAAAATCCCAGTATTTCCTCATTTACTTCTAAGGAACATGGTCAGTTTTACCACCATTGAGCAAGGATTTTAACTTTTTTGTACAAAAAAATATAGCTATCCTTTTTTTTTTTTCCACTCTGCACTCCCCTGCACTCTTTGGAACTACAGAAATGCCTTTTTTTTTTTTTTTAATCCTGTGAAATTCCATTCAGCTTTGACACAGAAATTAACTCCCCAAATTGACGTTACCATTTCATCATTTACTCAGGGCCAGTGAACTTGGGCAGCGCAACAAATTGTACCAGATGAAACATACAACAGGACGGAAACATTTTAATCAAAGGTCAGGGACAAATCTTTTTCCAAACACCAGGGTGCATTTCCTCAGGAATCCTACAGGTAGATGAGCACAGCTAAATCTCACCAGTGCCCTTGAAGGCTCATCCCTCCTTTGCAGAAGCTCCTGTGGAGCTTTGGCAATCTGTAACCAAAGAGAAGACCTCCCCTGTGCCACACCTGGAGAAGCTAAGGATTACATTTCTTTCCCTTTCCTTCTTTTCAGGTTATTAGTCTGTTTGCTAATGTGGCTAGCCCCACTATTCAAGCTGTGATTTGCCCGCTTGTGCCTAGTATTAAGCAATGTGCTCAGGGAGACTCCTTCAAAAGAGGTCCCTCAACTCATTTGGTGCACCCATTACAACATGGGCAGCTCAGCAACTGAAGTACCTGGTACTATGAACTCAGTATCAGTGCCAGTTCCTGCCTGAACTATTCATTTTTACAGCTGGAACGTGTCTGTTGCTTGTCCTCAGGGGAGCATTCAGTAAGGGATTTACAGTGGAGTAACCTCAGGTTGAGAGTTTGCTGATTCTCTGGCATACTATTACATACATCCTTGTGCAAAGGTAACGCAGCTGACAAAAAATCGTCACAGGCCACACAAAAGAAAGAATATCTGTCTAATTTTGGGGTGTGCTGCAAACTCCGTTTATGTTCTTGGGTTTCTTTCAGTACTGCTGCGAAACTGTGGACTTTCTTGTAAGCACAGTGAAACAAAGATTTAGTTAGATATCTTCTCAGAAAAGGGTCTGTGCCTGTTCCTCATCACTCTGTAATGGCATTTTGGCACTACAGCAATTGAATATGCAGTGGTGTTTGGGTAGCAAACTAAGAGCCTAATAAATAAAACATGAATCTTGAAGAAAAGAAAATGAGATAAATGTCATGCATGCTTTTCATTTTTCATATTAAAGATCAGAATACCAAGTATGTTTCGGTGTCCTGTTCTCTATGGCAGTTGCTCATTATTCCTTGTATTCCATTAGAATTAGAAATTCCAACAAAAAAATCAGCATGTCACAGAAAGTACAAACATTAAGTAAACAGTGTAATACCATACTTATGTACATATGTACAAATTAAAAATTAACTGCCATTAATGAAACACATTCTAAACAGACAACACAAAGCAAGTAGAATGATATCTCTTTTGCCAGTAGGGAACTAAAGGTAAATGGGAGCAAGGAATAAAAATACTGTCATCAGCAAGGGATGAATATATGGAGCTGGAGTGATTACTTTTCCTACGCATCTTGGGTTTCAGTATATTTAGAAGTTATAGAATTAATACAGTTCTAGAAAGGGCAGTCTTGGTATTAATTCTAATGCTGAGCATTTCAATTTAGTTATTGTTTGCTCACTGCTCAGTTGTTTGCATGTAAAAGTTAATAAGAAAAACTCACGTAATATGACAGAGCATGCACAGAAATGGTCAGTGTACCTGTGTTGTATTGCTCACAGCTTTAAAAAGGAAAGCAGCTATTCTTTTGGTTATCTCTGCATACCAGATTTTAAGCTAAAGTAGTATAGACTTTATTTTATGTAAAAGTTCACTTTAAACAATATACAACTTACGCATTTCTTCAACAACATCTGGATCACATTCTCTGTATTTGTCTACTTCTGCTTTTAGCTGCTCTTTTTTCTGCCGGAGAGCTGCAAGTTCCTCTATTAGAGCTGCACGTTCTGCCTGGGCGTTCAAAGCAAGTTGGGAGATATATTAAAAAAACAAAAAAAAAGGTACCCCAGTAATTACTACATTACACAGAACTTTTTTTTTTTAAATAAAAAGATATAAATTTAAAAGTTGTTTTCACTACTACTTTCTGTCAGTGAACCAACTGAGCATTTTACGCACACACAAAACTCTAAGTGACACTAGAGGATACCAAGTACAAATTGGAAGGAAAAAATATCAAGGCCAAAACAAAAGGAAGAACAATCTTCTACAATCTTTGAACTCAGTGTGGCTTAACAAACGCAGAACAGATTTCTTCATTGTTGAGCTTAAATGTTAAAGTGTATTTAGGAGTACTAGTTTTGCAATTAAAGACAGCATTACACAAAAACCTAACATTCGCACTTCCCAATATCCTGATACCGACTACATATGAGTGCCCTCTGAATTTATTTCTCTCCTCCTTTGTTGCACATCATTTAAGTGCAGCAGCCTCAAAGATAAATTCAAATATTTAAGGCATGGTAATCGTCACTGGGAGAGTATACATCATTACCTCAAATATTCTCTTGATCAATAAGAATCCACAGCGACGTGACCCAACACGAGCACCCTCATAGTGAACTTAGCACATAATCCAGCCTGCACTTACAGCCAACCACTGTAACTGCCTGAAATTTGGGATTTTCAAAAGAACTCACGCTAGGCCACTGCAGAGCCTAAAAAAAAACCCAGAGAGCAAGAGTCTGTAAATCTTCCATTTCTTAGCCAATAGCAATCTCCAAGGCAGCCTGAGAGCCTGAGGGTTTTTTAAACTTCCATATTCCCAACCCTTCGGCCAACAGTCTGTATTCAGCATGTTCTGGAAATGCAGATTCCAAATCAAAGGCTTCCAGGCCCTGTGGTGTGGAAGCTGGTTGCCCAGAGATCTACACCATGAGCTGGATTTCTCAGGACTTTTTCCTGGTGAAAATTAAGGAACCAAAATGTTGGAAGCCTCAGCCATAACAGGATTTCCAGGACCACTAATTTCTGCTGACTAAGGCAGGCCACATGGCGGAGAAGGCCAAAGTCTCTAACAGTCCATTTGGAAACCTGACAAGCACAGCTGCATGAGAAACCTGCCTGTGATTCACCGATTACGGATGAAGCGACAACATTTCCAAAGGATATTTTGAATTCTAAGACTTGACACTTTCCTACAAAATTCGTTTTCACCTGAAAACTTCTTGCCACCCTCAACTATGTACTTATTTATTCAATATATAAGCCAAAAGTTTAGACTGAGCTTCTCAAAACTGATGAACAATTTAAGATACCTCATGAAATATTTCTAACTATATAGCACTTCGTATGTGGGTTAAATATGAAGACTAAATATTACTTTTGCAGTGTTATTTTAATGGCTTTAGCATACAGAGAACACAAAGTTTATTTTGCAGCTCAGAATAACAACTTAGAAATCTAGATTAGAAGTCTAAAAAATAAGGCCCCCAACATCTTAGTCTGCACGTACTAGATTTGGCAGTTCAGCAACCATTGGCAACTTTGGCACATACCTGTGGGTAGATCAAGTTTTAAGATACCTTTAAATCTGAAAAAGGCAGAAAGACTACCAGGCTTCAAGCAGCCACACATTTTCTCTGCCTTGAAGCAGCCAGATGGCAATATTTTACTCATTAGTGCATGACCAAGTCAGAAATAATCCAACTTTTGGGAACATCTATTTTTTTCTTTCCTATTCTCATAACCAGTACTTGGAAGCCCTAATGGCTTTCCAACAACTACATTAATATTTGAAAACTGCATAATCGTAACCCTATTCCCTAGAAGGAGCCCGCCCCAAAACCAACTTACAGTATCTTCACGTCCGATTTTTGATTTCTCAATGCTTTTTTGTAAAGCCTCCTTCTTCTGACTGCTTTCAGCCAACTGCAAAAGGAAACAAAGAACAAAATCAATCTTTTTTAGTGCTAAGTATTCCCATAAAAGTGTGCACACGTGTGGGTGTGTATAAATATATTTAAATATATAGCTGCATATATGCTTCTAAGTGTATAAATTTATAAATAACTCATGTAATAAAAATAAACACAAAATAAATGCAAAAACACCCAAGTTAAGTCTGAGGCTCTGACCACAAAAAAGAATTACAGGAAACAAGTTATAGTCGAGGAAATTCTTGCTCCCATAGCACATAACCTTGTTATATATTGCACAGTCAGCACAGGACCCAACTCCAGTTTCAGACCACAACCAGGCATCTCTATGCAAAGGGCTCCATGACATAGAGGCTTTGGGTGAGATTATTTTTTTCCGGCCCTTTTCCAGCTCTGTAATCTCTCCCATAGCTGCTCCTTTATTCAATGGAAGCAAGGACAAAAGTTATAGCAGATCCACCTGCTCGGCTGCTGATCCTTGCCCAAGTCTGGTATGCTGTTGGCACTGCCCCAGTCCTTTTTGCACTCTAGTGAATAGAAGTCTCCACAGCTGAAAGGCATGCAAAGCCCCAGTCCTCTTTTCTGGGCTGCACTCAAACTGCTACACTTTAGACTTCTCTTTCTTTGGGTCTGAGGTGGAGGAATCTCACAGAGGAAGTCGCATTTCACAGGTTTGGTGTGAATGCACTCTGCCTTTTCCTGTTACTCCAGCAGGA